TATTTGACAGGTCAGGCACAGCCTTATGCACCATCCTGTCACATGCTGCAAGCGCGTCAAAATTACGAAAATTCGAAATTAATAATAATAATAATTAATGGCAAAACATGACAATCTCAATCTGTTTGTTAAACAATTCATTACTCTCTGTGTTTTTCGACCTAGAAGTTAGCTGCAACTGGACAAAATACTGATTCTGCTGTTTTTGTATTGCTGAGCTCTGCACATCCCCGTGTGCGTGGGTGCGCACTGCTGTCCTGGATAGGTGCACTTGCAGGCTTCAGGTACGGTGATTCAGCACATTTTTTTACTTTTCATGGCAGATAGGGAAGCGGGTGTTCAACAACAGTTTGATGAAAGGTAGACTTATCCAGGGGGAATCAAAAAAAAAAAAAAGAAAAGGTCTGTATAGAGTAGAGGCAGCTATCGATTGTACAATAATGCGAGCGCAAGGATCAAGGCGTCACCGTTCCATTACTGCACTGTCGTCGGCAACAATGCCTCTTCTCTTTCCTCTTGCCACCACAGCTCCACATCATACATACAACTTGTCCCACGCTTTGATGCCACGGGGGCAAGTTGGGCCAAAGCAAGGAGGAGCCCAATCGGTGACGAAGAGCAATTTTGCCAGCTCGACCAGCTTCGGCCTCAGCGACTTCAATTGGCAATCGGCTTAGCAATAGTATCGGTGCCTTCACCTTTAGAGCCTGTTTACTTCATTGCCTACTGGTGCTGTGTTCGATAGATATATATAGGATAGAGAAAAATATTATTTACTGCGGCGTAGGGATGCCGCCCTCCCGTTGGATGACCTACGGGTCAGAAAGAAAGGAGTTTTTTGGTGTAAACGCCCATCTCGTCTGGCATCTCTTATATTCTTTGTCAATGCTTCTATAAGGGCTGGTAGATTAATACCTTTTTATTTCTTTGTTGCAATATGTGTAGATGTCTATGTCTTGTTAAAACAAACCAAGTTAAGGGAATTCGGTTTAAGCCGCCTTACCTCTGTTATTTTTCTTGAAACCTTCGACATCTGTGAACACTTATTTTCATATTTAATATATGTACAATAGAGCAAGTTTTCTCCAATTTTCCGACGTTTTAAAAAAGCCTCATCATTAATTTGACTACGCTAAATTAAAATGTTCACTCATATGAAATCTGTAACATAGAACCATCGCTATCCATATGCATAATCATACTACCTGATATTTTATTTTCCGTCATAGGACATCAAACCTTCAGCGGCAAGCTAGTGCAAAAGTCTTCGTTTTCGTATCAAGTTCTACCTTCATATCGAACCAACCAGTGCTTTACAAGAATCGCGAATAAGTTCCACATGAGTGAAGTAAACTTTAATTTCCCAAACATTACCTATTTGTTTTTTTTTTTTCAGATTCAGGCTAAACTCCTGTCGCATTGAACAAGTCCATTGACCCCTCATTTCCGCGTTTGCCAGAAAAAATCGTTGGCCATTGTAGTCGGTAGACTGGCTGAGAGTCTAACTCGTCGACACCTCACTTCTTCCATAACTGTTTGTTTCTAAATACATGTTCCTCTCACTGTTGTATTCGAACCGACCACATGCCAGTGACCGTCGACGAATCTCCACCAAATATGTCTGCTTTGGATGAAAAGTTACGAATATAGCGGCGTTTTCTTCGAAACTGCACCTAGAAGATACACCGAATGCTCAAATAGACGTAACAACAACGTTATTCCCAAATATCTCCTGAATGTAGCCTTGCCCTAAGGATGAAGAAGAGCTTTGTGTGACCTGCCTTGAGCACATTCGTCGACTGCTCGTCCTTCTCTGGTATCACTCCCCCTAAATTCTGATATCTAAATCAGACGAAACGACAAAACGAGGTTATGGGAAAATCTAGATGTTTCCTCAGGTGTCTGTTTTCTTGGAGCGATCCGACGCCGGTCCCTGTGCGAATGGTCAGCAGCTCAATTCGCTCACAACACGATAATTACATCCATGATATTGCAACTGTTAAAAGGACAACTCTTCTTCTTTATTCGGCTAACTATTTCTATATTGTCTTGAGCCAACGATGCATATATGCAAGCCGGACTACCATATATTTGACATTCGTTCTTCCTTGTTTGGCCAGCTGCCTCCGACTACTGCAACTACGATCTATGGAGGCAACTGATACGATCGCTAGCTCAGGATTATACCAACGATCGTACCGTGTTTTGCGATCCGTTTCGTCACCAGTAGCATTCATTGCGGCTACATGTAATTAGTTTTTTTTGCGCATGGTATTGTTCGAGTCTTTGAATGGGCATGCGTCAACACAGTCCTGTAAGGGATCGCTTTCAAATGTATTATCTGAGTTAATTTCAAATAGAACTGTACGTCCGTACGAACATACGATAAACCGATCTGCTTGCAATGTATCTACCGAGAAAAAGTCACACTATCCTCCTAATGAAGATGTAATACCATCGAACTTTTTATGCCCATCAAGCATTTGTTGTACATGTAACATTTCCGGAAAAGCGTTTCCGACACAATTTTTGCCACATCTCTATCGGTAATGACAGCAGCGACCTCTATCAGCTACAGATAATAGAGGGTGTCAATTATAGCTTTGTGTTTTTATTTGTGTCAATTTTTTTTTAACTTATCACTACCGCTTATAGCCATAGACCCGAGCAGAGACAATGGACTTGCGGAGAAGCTTGAATATTGTAACTTAAAATAACATAGCATTGTTTATACTGCCGTTGGTACTGCAAAGCATACGTGTATGACTGGGTCGAACGGTGCCATTTCGCATATAGGCGACAGCCATATAGACAAATGATGTATGTACGAAAAACTGAACTGTCCTTAACGGAAACACCCAGTAGACGACGGACAGAGCGTGCCGTTTTACCTTATACTGAGTAGTAGTGGGAACGAAGAGCAAAGAGGATGTCCTCCATATGACCTCTGTACAACGCTTGAATGCGTTGCAGATCGGAAATTTAATCTGTTTTTGGCAGAACAGCTTCAGTGCTCGATAGATTTTCAAATAGCGTACGGAAACTAATCGCTTCCTGTGACAGATCCTATTGAAACAGCAAGATGGTCAGGTCCAGGGATGAACGTGACGTTCAGCTAGCTTTACGCTTTTACCGTAAGATGGCTCCGTAGTTCGTTTGCTGTCGCGCTTTCCGTACCTGTTGTGTGTCGCTCGTAGCTCACCGAGTAGTACTTGGTTGATAAAAATAATACAGCGTTTTTTTTCCTCTTCCGCTCTGTGTGCACGAAATTCGACAGCCTCGAAAGGACATCTTCCTGTAGAGTAATCCGCAGTCTAGCTGCTCCAAGTAGATTTGGGTACCTGCTGGCGTTCTGGCCTGTGTCGGCGTTGCATGAGACCGCGTGAAGCATCGTCTAGTCATAGTTAGTGGAGCTCGACAAAAATGCAGAAGTCTAATTTGAGCTTCGATTGCCACCGCTAATATTGCTATTATATGAAAATGACTCTTCTGTAGTGACAGTGCCAAAAAACATCGGGGTAACCAATTCACAAATGGATCTTTCTAAAACAAATAGGTGCACGGCTCGATTTTCAGTTTAGATGGGCTTTGTTCTTTGTTAGGCATTACTAGATGAGGTAAAGCTTACATGGGGTTTATATCACCCTCAACACTGCCATCAACATTATTGCTACAACAAGCAATCGTCAGATCATCCAGAACTGCGACTGTTAGGCTCGTCTTCGCCTCGTAATATCGTTAGCACCGTTAGAACGTTGACGAAAAACTGCAAATGCGTGAGAACCAACGTATTCTAGCAAAGTGACAAAAATTCTACGCTCTCATAAAACACCGATAACATCATCGTACTAATATTGAAGACGATCCGCTTTGATGTGGGGTATATGCCCACCTTCGTCGAACGATAATGACAGGAACGGATAACTACTTAGAAAATACACATCGCCCATCCATAGTACTACTGATTATTTCTCACTGAAGCTTTTAAACCCAGTTGGATGTATCCCATTGGTATATCTTTGAAAGTGTGATTCACTGATACGTTCGGCGCCCGTTTACAGTTGGCATGTTGATGACCGGCAACAATAAACCCATAGACAATTTGTTGTTAGCGGTCATCCAGGCTCTTTTCGAGCATTCGCTCAAACTCACATATAGGCTACTGCTATAGCCATGCTAACAATGATGTTTTCGATGGATTTTAAAATTATATATACGTTCGACAATACGGTGGTATAATAACTAAATGCTCTTAAATAAGGACTGCATTCGAAATTGAACTCGAGCTGCACTATCGTTATGGTCTGCTTGGAAGTATCTATCGTCCGCGGTGCTTGGACGCCAACTTACCACATCAATCAATTTCAGGAAAGGCACCTACCCTCACTTGTGTGTAGTAGAGCATGCGAGTGACGCTTTTGTCGCATGATGTTTATACGTAACGCAAAGACTTCAGCGACCGACGAGCGGGATGGCAACGATAAGTAGTTGGCGATGCAACATGCATCCCTATGCATACTGCCCAGTTTGTATGTTCCACAGGCTCACGGCGATGGCTTGCAGATCGAAAACTAACTCGGCCGCCGTTGTACGTCAGACTGAAATTATTAGACTGAGGTTGCCGGGAAAACTTAATAGTCCTGAACAAAGATCCAGATAGCTATGTCAAATTGGCAAAATGCAGTTAGGAAAAGGTGCAGTAACTGTAGTGCGTTTCGCCTCTGGCACAAGGAATTGAAATGTTCATAATTTTATCAGTTTGTGTTTGAAGGAAAGGACCTACCAGAAGCCTTACTTGCTAAAGGCCCCCGAAACATATGGCAGACGTTTAACACGATTAGTAACCAGTCAGGCCAAGGACAGTCGTTCAGAATAACAGGTGTAACTAGATAAACCGACGGCCACTACGTTGCACGTCGTCTACCAACATAGTGGGGTTGAATAACTAGACGTGAAATGTTTTATAAATACATCATTCGGGTAACCAGCTTGTTCGAAAATTAAGAGATTACCCCATTGAACGACAAAGCAGGGACGATACCCCTCTTTCATGTTTACCTTCAGTATTAACCATCTAATTTTTAGCAAATTTAACCGAGTGACGGTTTTAGCTCAAGAAGCATCCGTTCGATAAACTTAGCTTTCTTATCTGTCGCTGAAGTGGTCCAGCCCACTTCAAAGCAGCGTCAGCGTTAACACTTCGTCGACGGTGGGCGTTCCGGTGCAGTTATAGTTCTTGTAGTCATAGTAACGGTTATAATATAATATTACGTAATGGTATGATTATAGAGGAGGGTAATAGCGTCATATCGTGAGAAACTTGATTATCTCTACTAGTACAAAACTACAGATAAGCGTCATCGTTACGAATGAGCCGGACAATAGCGACGCCTCCTAATTATCATCGTGCTTACAGCTGTAACCATTATGTATTATAGCAGATGACATAGCAGCAGTATAGGTTAGATTGTTCCATTTTGGTATTATTTACAGATGCCGTTCGTTAGAAAGAAATAGCCCAAATCTAGCCCAAAACTTCGAACGTTGTTGAGCGCAGTAACGTTTGCTGTTTGCAATTCTCACTTTGTTTGTAGCTAGCGAGAAAGAAGAGCAATTCGCAAGAGAACACCTCTTAGTTATCGGTAACAACTGTTATCTATTTATATACATTTGTGTAGCGTTCAGACAATGCGTGGGTGGATAGTTGTGACATAGGCTGCTTCCATAATGGCCGCTGTTGGCGTTGTGGTCGCCTCTTTTTTAGCTGTCAGCAACCGACGACGTTTCTCGGTATCTGTTTTTGTTTCGATCGGTGCGCGATATCGAAGTCAGTCGATTCGACGTCAGGTACCAGACCAGAGAGTCACAATCGAAGCTACCTTCGAAGCCACCGCAAGGTAGACCTGGCCGGTAAAACACACAGTGTTAGAAGTATATATATGGAAGCTCAAAGCCCCAATGAATCGCACGTTCTTTTGTGAGATACGACCAATCAAGTCTGTGAATAAATAGATAAGGGCGGGTGAAAAAAATATAAAGAAATCAGAGTTGGTGACCGGATGCTGGATGACTGCTTATCGACAGAATTGCTACTCTTGAGCAACATGCGCTATCCTGTTCCGCACGATTCACTAACACATACTATCCACATTATCAGTGTATACGTACATACGTACGTCTCATATCAAACTAGGAGCTCAATGTACATACACAAGAGAACCTGCCGTTGATGCCGGCAGGTCGGGGGTTGGTACCGTCCATTGTAAGTCGCATAGGAATCACCTAAGGCAAATGCCATTGCAGAACTCTTCATATTCGTGTAGCTGGTCCTTGGCTATTGATATCTGTAGGCATCAACAACAACAACAGCAGCAGCAGCAGCAGCTGCTGCAACAACAACAACAACAACAGCAACACCCGATGTAGCAAAAACCGGACCGGAGGCCGAGAGATATTTAAGGCCATCGTCATTCGTGTGTGTGTCATTCTTTGTCTGGCCTATTCGATTTTTCGGTATCGGTTCGATTTTGATGGCAACCTGCCATAGATGATGAGTCTAGCACGGAACCTCTGAAGTGAAAGCAACGCCAGAAATACTTGTTTACCTACATAGGTACACCGGAGGCTCACAAAAAGTTCTCATCGCACACTTGAAGCCATTTACTTACAGAATAAGCAACGCCGATCGAGGACCTCTCCGCTGTTGAAGTTCGCTGCGTCAGTTAGTCGATCGGTGAGTTAGAAAGACGATGAAAGCCTGGGCAGTTAGACTACTCGATCGGCAACGATGAAGAACCTGAAAGGAGTGCGTCACAAGGAGTTAGTTGTCTTCAACACTACAGTCGTCTTTACATCGCCCACGAATCGAGAAGCTCAAATTGGTGTTCGCATATTCCTCGGCTGGGACTGGCCGGGTTTCGACGGCGTTCAAAACGACTTGATGCTGTTTTGGTTTACCCGCGCAAATAGAACCGCGCGGGTACCAATAACAGCAGCAAACGATGGCAGTGAGCCGTTATGGCGTTACTTGTTCTACTGATGTTTCGAAGTTGATTCTGTCTGTGTCGAGATGTGCAGACGTGAAATCCTTCGCTCTAAAAGTATCTACTATGAGGATAGCTATTACTTCAGTCACTACTAATACCACGAAGGCTTCTAAAGCGAAATCGGTGCCAGTAGACACTGTTCACTGGGGCACCGGCTTGCCGCCGCCGCCGCTGTGGCCTATCCATGGTTCACTTCATAAGCGACGGACAAGCAACGAATGACTGCGTCTGTTTGACTGACTGTCGTATTCCATCGTCGACCACGAGAGGACCCTACCAGGCGACCTAGTGCAACGTATCATTATCGTCATAACATGAAGCCTTCTTCTGATTTATACGGAAACATGACGCACATGCCACGTACATAGGACAACAGCAGCATCAGGAACTATAATAATCACAACAACGACGAACGCAACCCAGGGAACCCCCGCCAGGGCTGAGAAGAAATTAGACCGAAGACAGAAAAAAGGATGCGTAATTGTAAGAAAAAAGGTACTACAGAACAAAGTGCGTGTTGTGGTATTATTGTACAGAGCATGTGTAGGTAAATAAATTTACTACTTGAAACGAATGTGTTAGTTTTTAGGGAAAAGTTAGCGGATGGAGTTACCAAGTTGGGGATAGCCCACTTAATTGGTGCGGTGTACTGCAATGACGGAATAGAATAGACTGCCAATAATTAGCTGTTGCAGTAACAAGCTTTATGCTATATAAGCCAAATAGCAGCGGGCGAGAGGTGCCTGCCTAAATATAGCTATGCCAAGTTATTTAAGATACACTTAAGAAAAGTAACGATTATATCACGACATATGTCATAGTGTACGATGGGGTGAAGTATTTAAAAATTGGTCTAGTACAAAATATCTAGGTAACAAGTAATAATAACGTCATACTGCATTGCATTTTGGCTGAAACCCCTCAACAGCAATACCCAATAGAAGTAAGTACTTTGTGGTCGTTGTGCGCTGGTCGTGGATAGCTTGTTCAATCGTACGGCAACTCATACAATTAGTAATTTTCTTCGGTTTCTCTGGCCTATCGATTGCTATGTTCTATTAAGCACTGACGGTCGGTGTGGTTTTCGCCAGGACGATGTAAATTTCTTTTACCTTATGTATTAACCTGCCAGATATAGAGGGTAAGCAACAAGACGGTCCAGTGATTTGAGGCTCAGTTAACCTTTTAGCATGCTGTTTTACTCGAAAAAAATAATTGATTGATTGATTGATTGATTGTTTTCCTTGATCTTGCTACCTCATCTAATCAGCTACGCCAAACAATATAACGATCACTCACTGAACTTGACAAACGCCTTTGCCGTACCCTACATACGACGTTTCTATACTTTGTAAACGATAGTTCAAGTCTACGAACGCTTTGCTGCCGTTCAGAGTAATGCAAAGTCTATTGTTGCTATTTCGTACGGTAGACTCCTCAATCATGTCGATTTGACACGATTACTGCAGTGGAACTATCGCTTTTCAATGTTATTGATGCTATTTCGATCAGTTACTAAAGGCGATAGAAACCAGGACGCGCTTACCTAAGATACAGCATAGCCATGATAGCGGCCAGTACCCCTCAACGAGCCAAAGCGAACATGTAGCGGAAATCAATGTAACGATCACATGTTGTCATCCGAGAGAGTTCGCCCCTTTTACCAGTTCATTATCTTACCACATGCATATATCGAACATATTCTGGCTAGTTGTGTGAGCCTTACCATGCTGGTAGGGCCGCGTCGGACACCAAGACGAAGGAGATACCGAAGCATGCATGCGTGCGGGACAACTAACAAGCTGCAATTTGGAAGACACATGTTGTGGTGACAGCTGTTAGCCTACGATGCGCTAGAAACATGGCAACAACTCATTTTATCATGGCTTCCCTCTGTCTTTCGGTGGTGCTAGACTCTCCCATCAGGCGCGAACTGATCTCAACACGTTGACGGCCAACGCAGGCTCAGTTATAGGCCAGTAGATTAAAAGCTAGGAAAAGCGAATCATTCTTGGTTCGTTTCCTTCGGGTCGTTCCTGGTCTACCGTCAGAACGGTATGCCAATCGCCGAACCTGCCGAATCATCGAAACGGCTCCTTTGGGCCTCGTTGACCTCAAAGAGCGACTAGAACTCTTAAAGGGTTATAGAGCAAGGGGTTATATTTAAAGATCATATCAACACAACTGGATTGACTGCTGATTCGCTTGTACCAGCCTGCTAAACCATGCCATGAGCTATATCGTTACGAACGGCGTATGAAGTCATCTTGGTCGTTGTCGTCCACTTATAGTAAAACAGACGCCTTGGAGACGGAGAAAGACCGCCGAGGCTGGGCGACGACCAAGCCAAAACACGGCGGTGCGTCACGAAAAACTAGTCAACAAGCGAACCCTATGTATTGTTGATAATCGAGGTATAAGAGAAAAAGGAAAGGAAGAGTGCAGACGATAAACATGTTTCACGCTGGGGACATTCAACAGACACGAACCTTCGTCAGCGTGACTGTCACACCGCTAATTGAATTCTAACAGGCTTGCTATCGTTCAGTAAATGAGAAAGAGAGAGAGAGAGAGAGACTGAGACTGAGACTGAATGAAAACGGGGATAGGATCTAGAGATTGGCGGGATGTAAACTGAAAGGTGGAACTATGACTTCGTTTAGTTTTATTAAACATGAGCAACAGATGCATGAACGTATTTCGTATTGTTCATAGTGTTTTTTCTTCATACTTCGAAAGCTCTTGGCCTAAGCTACGGGCCTAAATACATATTACGGATTTTCTCCTAGCCATAACATTAAAACTAAAATAGATATATTATCACGTATTTTCTATGTATATGCGCGACTCGTTGTTGGTCAATTTAGTTTAGGGAAAATTAAACGTACTTAATTTTCAGCGCGAAAAAAAACCATGTTTACTCTGGATATTTATGTCATATATTTACCCATTAACCGATGAGAAAGGACTCTCTAGTGCCATGTAGAGAATTTCTATTAAACCAAATAGGAGTGAATCGTATAATCCTCTCGACCCACGCAAAAATCATTGTTAGTTTTTTTTTTGCTTGTAGCACGCTTTCAACATCTCTAGTTGGTGATTAGATCATAATAATGATCACGCTTTGCTTCGGCTGATGACGATCTCAAAAGACGATGTTTATTGCATCGCCATCATCCGACATCAATGGCTATATTCCTGTAATAGTTCTCGTTACGAAGATCGTCGTTTGCTTTAATGGAAGACGGGGCGCACCCTTCCGGGCTGACGGAGAGAACAGCTTTGTCACATCTCGTTGACTGCTTCTGTGCCTTTGCTTTGTGCCCGTGGTTTTTCTTAAAACTTAGTACCGTAAGGTTGAGACGAGCTCCATAAGGCGTGCCACGGTTTGAACGCGACGAGAACTCATACTGAAGAATACGTTTTAACATATATTCGTTTTGTCTCTCATGTAAGTTAGGTTCGAAATCAACTTAAGACTATTACGTACTGCGTTTCGAAAATTTTCCGGAGCAAAGGCAGCTAAGCAAATAGTGAGTCGCATGAAGGTTATTTTCTGTTCTATAAGCAACGTCGATGGTTTTACCGTGAGCGCATGATTAACTCTGTTAGACCAGACTAGATCAGATCAGATGTGGCCTTTGTTAATAAATTAATCAAGGGTTCAGTGATCATTGTCTTTCTTTGAATATACGTTCAGTCTCTACCATTCTGTCGGCGACTGATCACATTAAAATAACTAAGAATATGGTATGTGAAAATGTCTGATAGCCCTTCTTTTATTTTTCAACTTAAACGCATCTACATATTATTAAATCATCTATGTAAAAAAAAAAAACTATCTATTATCGTTAAAGTATTTAGCAAAAACGAAGAGAGAAGCCCTAGCATGGACGTTGAAGTCAACGACACAGGCGAGGAGATCTGTTGTCACCAAACGTTTATTAAGATGAATTTTTCGTTCAAGTATTATTGCCTAATAATCATGCTCGCCTTAGAAAACGAGCTACGTATTACTAGATTTACGAACATGTTTTCATTACTCTGTGACACTTTGTAGAAATGATACAAGCTCAAGTTGAATAGCTTGTCGGAATAACTGGGAGAGCGCCCTTTCGGCGACAATGAATGTGCCTCAGCCTTCGGAAACTAACTTTCGCCATCCATTATGTAAAAACAAACGCGACGAGGAAGTTATTTTGAAATCGGCGAATTAAAAGTACAGTTGTATGTTTAGGTACACGATGTTATTTCGGTAAGTCACGGTCAACATCAGCTGTTCGATTGAATCTGAAGAGATGCGGTAGCCTGCTAGTTGTCCTGACATCTAACGCCCTTTCCGGTTCACCAGGGCATGAAAATCAGCCCTTCGGTGCCGTCCTCACTTGATTCCTCGCTGGAGTGCTTTCTCACCTTTTTCGCGCGTCGTAGGGTCGTCGAGCAGAATTTGTCCTGGCCACCATTGCACAGGTACTAATTAATGGATAAACGTCAATCAAAGCAAGCACATATGTTAGTTGGACTTAGAACAACTGAAAGTAGCTATAACAATCCAGCGTAGCGACTCTTTGTAGCAGCAATTTCCAGCATCAACTCATTCCGCTATCGTACAATATGTACAACCGTATTACAAATCTGTCGTCGACCGGGTAAAGCCAACATAGCAGCATTCAGAAGTGGTTTATTTCTATAGTAGCAAAAAAAAAACAGGAAACATATTATCGACGGATTGATTATTTGCTGGCGTCACAATAGTTTCAGTATTGTTTCCTTCTGGTTTTTGAGCGAGACAGCCGGCTGCCAACAAACATGCGGGAAAACTCCCATTCACTCCTTGCAAGCGTATCTGTTATTTTAATTATTCAGCGAACAGAGACATATATTTTGGATACTTCGGAGACAAGCATCACGTACGGGAACAAGAAGGGTAACGGTCTACGGTTATTCAACTTAATCGGTGCACTTCGGGGTAAAAGGCGTTATTTAAGTTCAGCAGACGAAAAAGTTATTCGTAACCGATACGTCGTGGCGCAATGGCAAAGTCCGCTTTTCGGACGGATGGAAAACACGGATAATTTATTGCATTTGTTAACACTTACGGTTTTTGTTAACGAGCACGTGTCGAAGTTTATAGCTGCCCATTTGCCAAGCATTGGTAAGTTGGATGATTTAATCCATTTGTTGATAGCCCGCTTCTCATTTTCCGTAATCGTGTTTTTGTACGTCACGAAAAGATTGATATACGAGCTGTTGCCATTGCACATAGCGTATGCGATGAAATTAGACGATGCGCCAGCGATCATCAGCTGCTTCGAAGGTTCTAAATATAATAGATGGTTTTTTATCGAGTGGACGGAAGTGAGCGGGTCATTTCAGTAACTACAATACGGGCATCGGTGAATGGGGTTCTGGGGATTACGACTACTATTTTATACGTATGTCAAAAACACCGTATTTTGATTGTCGGTATAATTAAGACATTGATCAGAGAAAAAAAAAAACAGAACAGCTACTTACCTCCAGCACTTGACTCTTCCCTTTCTCCGAAATCGAATGCCATCGAACTAGATAATTGTGCAGGATAAATGTTTTTCATCACAATTTTGGTAGTATTTTGTGTGCTGATCTCGGTTCCGTAACATCGCCAGCCAACGGTCGAAGTAAACTGGATCAGCATCACCGTAAAGCCTTCGATGTACGGCTAAGACGAACAGTTTGGTGAATTAGCTGAATTCGGTAAAGGGCCTTTCTTCATAAACTGATACGGCTGACTTTTTTTGTAGATCCTGCCATTAACTGAATACTACGTTATATTTAACATAAAATTATATTCATAACAAAAAACCTTCGGAATTATTAGACCCTCGCAAGCAGCTAGGATAACTTCTGAGTAACTTTTCGTTCCGTTGTTGTTGTTAACAGCAAGCACATCGAATACCGTACATACGCATACCATTGAGCAGGCGTGTACAATTATGTGTATAACAGTAATACGCCGTGTGGAATCGTACAAGTTTCACTATACGCGTAGAGAATTATTCCAGTGTTTAGGGCGAAGATCTGTCGAAATAAATCAGAAACTTCAATTTGCCATATTGCAACCACAACTAAACGCCAGATGCTCAAATACGTGTTGTACAGATGACGGCTGTAACAACAGTGGCCTATATAGAAATTACACTAAATCAGGAACATACCAGGGTGTCGGTAGTCCAATTATTGTATTCACGTATAGACTTCACACCGTCCCATTCATCCTGAGGACACAACTGAGCCTTAGCAGGAGTCGCTTCACCGCCTTCGTCATCCTTTGGACGCACGACGTGTCCATTTTTCGCCCAGCACAAAGCAATAACAGTGCACAGCACTACAAACGTTTTCATTTTGATTTCTCTACCTCTGGCCACTTCAGAACCCAAAGTTGTACTGAGCCGTTGACTCTGTAGATGCTGCTATTCGATGGGCCAAACGGTAACGTTTTAAGCAAACGTCACTCGACATGCTTGCATGCAGTAAGCATTCACGGTAAGTGTTGTTTCGAGGGGTTCTGGAAGATGGAAGAAGAAGATAGTGGGCTGTCTAATAGAGTACAATAATTCTCGCTGGGATGGTGCTGGCCAATACAAAAATTGCTAGAGATAAACATCCTTTAGCATTACTTAGCAAACGCCTAGCGGTACGAATAAGAGGACGACTGCCAGCTTCTTTGAACTTTTCTCCGCAGCTACCAACAAACGTTAAGTGACGATCTCGATTGGATTAGACCTGGTACGAAGGTCCAACCAGCGTCAACCAGTTAAGCGTCGTTAGTTACACTTCTTGCCTGGATACAGATACGACAAAGTTGGAGAGAAATAGAAAATATCTAATCGGAACAAAGTAACGACACTCTGGGTGACGCTTTTTGGCCATAGCTCGAGACAAGTTTTTCAAACACTCGCAGAAATTCAATGGTAATGTGAAACGTTACAAATACTAGCGGCTGAGCGGCGCTAGTTTGGGAAAAAGTGTTGTGTTTTGTTCGAAGGGACGAGCGTCAAACGTTCGTGGAACGTATCGATACCAATTCATTCACGCTTTAGGAGTTGGTCAGTGAATCGCAGCGACAGTGGAGAAGAGTTCGCGGTAAGGTTTGAATTCTTCATTCAAACAAGGAATGAACAACGGGACGTTCTGTCGGTATTCATGGGTCCTTCTATGCGACTGTTTACAAAGGCCTTCTGCTAATACGGCTTCTTTTTTTTTTTTACAAACTTGTAAATATCTTCTTTGCAATTGTGGATGGTAATTAACTCCAAAGCATAAATAAGCTCGTATACGATAAGGTACACTTCTATTGTAGTTGTTCAATGAAGTCAAAGAAAACGTAGCTGAACATCTATGTCTCTATTCCTGCCCGCCGTATCCACAGACACGCAAACAAACGAATACACGGTACTTATGTAGCGATACACGTACCGAAACAGTTAACTCGTTAATTCTTCTAACACTGTTAATCGACCTTCGCCGTAAATTAACAAGTAACTTCGATAATAAGTAACCCGGTGGCGTAACCTCATGCCATGGTGCATTTGTGCAGTTGAGGCAACACCTGTTATACGTAAACTCGATTTGTAATTGAAATAAACGTTGGAAACTATGCAACTGATAATTCTAACTGGCCTTTTTCGACAGCATCCCCTATATTCCCTAATTCAGGGGGCAATCAACAACACTGAACGATACTAGCTTTTAGAGACACAAGCCTTTATAACGCCAGTACGTTCCTGTTGAGGACCAGACCTATCCAACTGTCAAACCGTCTCGGTCCGGACGGATAGTATCTCTGTTGTAAACAAATACATTGTCACTACTACAGCTATTACACCTCTGCCAATGGCAGTGCGTAACGGATACAAATCAAGCAGTGTTAATAGGCCGCCGCCGCCGCCGTTGAGAGAAATCCTTCAAGTTCATGTTAACGAGGCATCACTGTACGTATCTACAACATCAGGATTGGGTCCGCTGATTTCTCATAAAAAAAAATAGGGTGAATGATGAAGCATCCCGCACTCGTTGGCCTTTGTCTGGTCAAAGCATTTGCGGTATATTGATGTAATCGCACGAACGTAAGTCGCGTTAATACTGTGTAAATCAGTGTAAGACGTTATAGGTGGATCGGCTCTAGTGGCAGGAAAAAATCGATAGTAAGACAGAAGCCACATTTTTGTCACTGTTGAAAAGGACCCTAAAACGTCGTCTTGCAGAGGCGTCTTCACCTTGGTTTTACTGCTATAATAAAATCATGTCGATTTAGTGGCATAATGCTTCTTGTGACCCGTCGCAAGCAACAGGCCAGCACAAGAGTACTTGACACCATTTGCTCGATTAGAGAAGACCGCAAGGACTGCAGCTTGCCAATCCGTAGCAGAATGGCAGAAACGGAGGAATTCGACTCTGCTATGCGAGTGAGATGGCTGACCAAGATGAAGCTTGTCAAAGCGATGTCATAAAAGAAGATGGTGAAGTACTCGTTAAAGCAAAGAGCTGGACACCAGCCGAAGTCGAGTGCTCCATCAGGATCCATAGGTGATCGAAGATTATTCAGACCTCAAGAAGAATAACCCTTACCCGTCAATTCCTCCACATTGAGACATATAAACGCTTACCCGTAGAAAGCTGCCAGAGACGATTTACCGCTACGCCGCCATTGCGGCTTTGGGGGGCTGTATATGTCTCCGCTAAAAAGCCTTTCGTCGAACCGTGTTAGAACGTTAGATGCCTCTGAAGCATCTCTATTTATAAACGAGCTATTATGAATGAAAGCTACTAAGCAATGAACACCCACAATTGCGGGACGCCACCATTGGCCACAATTTGGAACAAGGCAGAGAAGATCCTACAAGATAAAGAATGAAAACGCGTAAGAACAGCGGCTAGGCAGAGGGAATCTTTAAGTGGCTGTCGGGTGACCGCAGGTTTATTGAACGAGGGTGCTTTCGACCGTTGACGCCCGATGTTTCGTAGTTTCGCAGACTTTCGAGAAGAACTTGAGTTACTGAAATATGTTAATGCTGGCGTTCGCTCAGTCAACGGGGCCGAAGCTATAGCTGCGCTGTGGCGTAGTCGTTAAACGTAGAAGCCTTATTTTTGCGACTCTGGCTACAATTCTAGCACAGTGGAACGGGTGGCATTGCAAATGGATACAGGAAGGCAATAGTTTGAAACACAGGTACAGCGCAATTTAGATGCATTGTTATGAGCCCTCTAATTGAGCGGCTATTTAGGTAGATGTAGCAATGACAAGAGATAGACAGAGCTCAGCATGTTGGTACTATAAAGTGGGGCGTTTAATAGTACCTTACGACTCTATAAAGCAGAAAAGTAGAAACAGCATCCGTTGAGGACATCAATACTAACCTGGAACCTCCTCCTCCCCCCTGTCCCCGGTTCGGCAAGCCGCATAGGCACCTTCGTCAAGTGGCTTGACTCCTTGCAGTTACCGTCCTTTCAGACTCATTTTTGGAACACTTACCAAGTCAATCTGATCACTGCGAGTACTACAGCTCTCTCATAATTATCGCCATTGAGCAAGTTTGCCTTAACACGAATCGTAAATATTTTTTACAGAGTTATAATACCTTAGGCACACATCTGTGCTCGTATTTTATATAGGCAGAACTCACATTTGTATCGCTAGTCTTTGACAAGCTGAACTCTAGTGCGTAGTACCGTTTCGTCATTTCTAAACTTCAATGCTAAACTTACTCAAAGCGGACTTATAAATGTTGCTTCGGACAGCAATGGCTGGAATAAAATTTATTGTTTTAACTACATCTAGGAGGCTCATCAACCGAAGGCTCGGTTCCGCGTGCGTTTGGTGCGCTCCTAAAATGAGCAACGTTGGAGTAATTTCGACAACTAATATCAGAGAACAAGTATTATTAAATAAAAAAAAAAAGAGTAAATTCTTATCCATTCTAAACTTATGTTTAACAAAACTACTTTTAAATCGAATATTTTGTCTTAAAAGGTTCCTCTCCTAAATAAGGGGCCTGCAATCGCTCAAATGGCCTTTAATGGCACATGTGTCCAGCAGCCTGATTGAAAGCCTTTGAAGTATCAGTATATCGATATCTCCCCGTATGCTCTTTTCTTTTTCAAATACTTCGTTCTTCTTTAATGTTTGGGAGGGTGTGCGCTAATATGGATCTGATGATGAAGTCAATTAGGCCTGCAATCATTCGAGTTTCAGCTGTAATCGATTTTTTTAGGCCTCACAACGTCAGTGAACCCATTTGAGTTGACTAGATTGTTCCGATTCATATATATCAGTCTGTCCGTTATATATCTGTGGCATTCTCTGACATTATTCCCTTGACTTGAGTTTTTTTCCTATTTAATAGTTAAAATGTGAGCCATTGATATCAGCGATCGGATCAGAATCAGTAGCCAAGTAGCAAACGGTAGGGCATAAACACATACAGATTGTACATGTACGTAGACATACAAATACAGAAGGTGACCCGACCAGAGTCCACCGAATAATCGGACAGGGCCTCAGCATCAGTTGCGGTTACATCACAAGACAACTACCGGACCGTCTCATGCATCCTGCGGTACTTATATACATTTGGGCCGCAGTAGCCGCGGAACGTATTCTTCGATAAACGCATGGTTCGCAGCGAGTTGTAGAATGGCAATGGTTATTGGATAGTTGCTTCAGCATCTCCTATTTATTGGCGGCACCAGCAGTAAGTAAGCGCGATTTCTGATTCCTGTTGTCCACTACCCATGAATCTGTGCCGTAGGAAAGCAACGATGAAAGGGGCCAGCCAAATAAAGCTTGCTGGAGCACCGTCCAGACAGGTGAAGAACATGCCGAGCCTCCGGCCCATCGTTCGCAAGGGGACACCAACGGAAGACGAGGGGGCGGCCCAAGCAACAGCCCAAGGAAGCAACCAAATTTATTTTACTTTTCTTCTTCGATCATTATTACAGCAGCTCTAACCGCTGCTGGCACCGCCGCGATACTGGTATCTACCGCCGCTCCGTGACGCTTACTGTCTATTACGTAGATATCGCGCGCTGGCGATCTCAGTTTAGCGTCGCTGGCGAAACGAATGCTAGCAGCGCCACTAGTTACGAACGGCGGCCGAGCTAGGTCTGGTGCAGACAGAAGCAGAAACAGATCGTCTCGCTAGATACTCCGTGTCTATAGTCACCTTAATCGGCCCCTGTCGGTGTCTACCTTCTGTAGGATAACGAAGGCGTATCGAGAAACGAGGCAGCCGTGTGTATGTAAACGTGTGAGCCCGCGAGCGCAGGCCCAAGCCTACAAGCAAGAGCACAAGGCCAGCCAGGCTACTGTTACGAGCTACAGAGGGGGGTTAATTATGCGGCCGACGCTTCTAGGCGTGAACTGGCCGGTTAAACTGGTACTGACGCTTGGGGATTGTCTGATAATTAGCAGGACAATACTGAACGCACTTAAAAGAACGTCGCTCGCGTAGATATCATTATGACGAGGAGGCG